ATAGCTCCCCAATTCTGGCTTTGATTTCTACCTTGTCGAGCGCCTCTTTTCTGGTCCTCGTCGGATCTGCGCTACCCTGGTACTCGAAGCCAGGATGTACCCTCTTTTGGCAGGGCTGGATCCTTCGGCTGATGAAGTTCCCGACCACGCTTGGACCATCCATTTTTCCCCACGGGATCAACCCGAGCAGTTCTGTAATCTGTTCCAAGTGCTCGGGCTTCTCCGACCAGCTGTTCTTCTTCTCCGGAATCAACCCCACGTCACACAGAGTGATCGTGTTCGGCTCTTCGCGGATGTAGAACCATTTCTTATACCATTTGTCCAGTGAGGTGTTCCATGGGCAGTGCAGGTACTGGGCCTTCATACCGTCACGCAGATTGAGGTATACGCCTCCGGCTATCTTCGAGCCTCCGCTCCCTTTCTTCCATGCATGAGCAGATGGCGAAAGAGGTCGAAATGAAATGGAAGCCACCATAAGCTTCGCAAAGATGGATGAAGGTGGAGACAAGAAGAATTGAGTTGGGATGCAGATTGCAAATCCCAATCTCGTAATATAAGCAGAGCCCCTGAAGGAAAGGGTGCACTAGAACCCCAAAACCCCGCTTGAAGAAATCGTTGAAAACCACAATCTCACCTGGTTGTGGATCGGGGAAGCTTTCTCCCTCCGGCGCACGCCATCCCGCGAGTGCCTTGTTGTGGAGTACTCCCATGGCGACGAGGTCTTCGATGGTCTGCTCATTGCTCCTTGACTTCCACCACTCCTTCGCCATGACTCCGCCTTTCTTCTAGGCGTTTCTCTTCGCCATTGATCTGCCCTTGTTAAGAGGGTGGATGCGGTGGAGGAGGGATTGGTGGTGATTTTTAGAGGAGTAGGGTTTGGCGAGAGGAAGAAGAAGGTTGCGGCGGTGAATGACAATGGGGATCGGTAAAAAGTAACTTACCTGCTGTATATTATAAATAACCAAGGGCTCCATCGTTTTGCCCGCCCGAGATTCTTGGGGGCGTGCGCACGCGCCGCAGACGGTTGTTTTCACAACCTCGAGATCTACGCCAGCAAACGCGCCCCTTCGCTTCCAGTGTACGCGCCTCTTCATTGATAATGTGAGAGGGCCCACACTAGCGCACCTCCATACAGGCACCAAGCGACTGTTTGTCAGAAAGAGTAAGAAGGCAGAGTGATATGTTATATCCGTCTGTTTTTTTGACCAGACGTGGCAGATTGGACTTGACAGAGTAAGGAGATAAATAAATACACCAAATAATAATACAATCGGCGTTCTTTTCTTTTGGCTGCATATCTTGAGCTCAATGATGGACCAGACCACCGCCGTGTTTGGGGATCTGCCGGACCATCGCCGTGCTGGGGGGGATCGCCTGCACCATCGCCGTGTTTTCGGGCACCGCTTCAGACCCTTGCCACGCTTTGGGGATCTGCTCCATCTTGATGTGCTCGGGGATCTGTCCCGACCAACGCTCGGAGATCATTCTTCTCGGCTACATGTGATTTGTACTCACATACAGTTGAGAGACGTTTATTTAGACCTTGCTACAAGGCTCATACCTCGCCTTCCAGCAAGCTCGGGGACTACATCGGTACGATGCACCTGCCGGTGCATCTCGTATCACCTGTACGACGATTGGATTCTCAACTTAACTGGGAATTCTTTTTTAGACCCTGGCACCACGTGCCTATGTCACCTACTACCAGGCTCGGAGACTAAGTGGGCACACTTCACCTTGCGGTGAATGTGTTTGTTTTTCGACCCCTACGCCTCTGATGATCAAGGACGCTACGTTTCAAGACGCACTTACATTTCTTTTCAGAAATACAAGTGGGCACACTTCACCGGACGAAAATCTTTTTCTTTTTTCTTAAGAGCACCATATATTCTTCGGACAACCAACTTCTCCGGTGACAATGGTGGTCAGAGACGTCAAGGGCTCAAGCCTTACTTGTCGGAGAAGGTTAAAATGGCGTGTCGCATCATAATACATGGTGCTCGGGGACTAGCTGTGGGGGTATTAACCCCTATACCCTTATGGCTAAGCTTGGGCCGGCCCGGATCGATGGGTTCGGTCCACAAAAAAGACGACGTCTTGATGTCAGTTAACCTGATCGGAGTCCCGCGCAAGGAGTTAAGGCGGATCTGGCGATCAATCAAGATCCTGATCGGTTAGAATAGGAATCCTTATCCGGCCACATATGGCAATTGTAATTAGCTAGGATTAGTTTCCAGATCTGTAACTCTGCCCCCCGAACTATATAAGGCGGGCAGGAGACCCCTCTAAAAAACATCTCTCATTGACATACAACAATACAAATCAGACGCAGGACGTAGGTATTACGCCTTCTTGGCGGCCGAACCTGGATAAAACCTTGTGTTTGTCTTGCGTCGCCGTCTTGTTTGTGGCTTGCGCATCTGTCTGCCGATAATCTACTACCTTGGGTATACCCATAGGTAGACTGCCGACCATATTTCGTCGACACGCGCCTCACCAGCATCGCCGCCTCGCGCTGCCCGGGCGGGGCCCCGCTCTAGGTTCTAGCGGATCCAGCGCCGGTGTCCAGCAGACGCACCGCCGCCGTCCTCGTAGACGCGCCGGGGGCAAAGGAGACCCATGGTTGCGATGGGGCCCGCTACCGCTAGAGGAAGCCGGAAGAAGCCACAAATTTCAGCTCCTACTCTCTCTCCTCCCTTGTCTCAGCAGGAATTTTGGAGCTTCTTCCTAAGATCTTAGCAGGCCAAAGACGTTTGACAGGTGGAGCCGAAAAACAGATTCAGAAGCTGGCCAAGAATCTATACAAACGGGGTCATAGTGGAGGACCTACTCAGCATATTCTACGACGCCTAGGCTTCCATGTGACTCTACGGCACCCAGGCCATGTGCGCCGCTGGCTCACGGAGACACTAGTCCTACTCCTACGTGCCGGCATGAACTAGTTCCACGTAAATGACTAATTCACCCTTATTTAAAAATGAAATGAAATGAAATGAAAATAGATCTTGTCCCGTGATTTTTGGTATTATCCTACCTAATTTGGTACTATCCCTACCTATTTAATACCTCAGGTACTTACCTCCTATTTTTTCACCGTCTAATCTCACCAACCATCCTAAAATTTCTCAAATGTCTAGCCTAGTAGTACAATAATACAAAAAGAATTAGAGAGGCAAATAAGAAATTACTCAGAAATGGGAGAAACCCTTCTGCCCTGCCCTCCCCCGTTCCCGAAAGCCAAAGCTTGCCGCCGCCAGTCCTGACAACGTCGCGGACGCCGCTGACCAGCTCCTACGGACGTTGATGGCGTCGGCGGGGCCCCCGATCCTCCGCCGTCTCTCGCCTCTGTTCAAAGGCCACATCCGAGCGAACCACCTCCTCCGTCGACGACGCAGAGCCGCCTTCACCAGCGAACCCGGTGGCCGTCAGCATGACAGATTGACAGAGAGCTGCATCCGAGTAGGTCTCTCCCCGTCTCCAGCATCCTCGTCCTGTAACTACAATTTAGGAGTAGTTTTTTTTTTTAAAGTTTTACCATATTTGTTGTCTCACAAAGCAGCCCGCACTGCTTACATATTTTCCGTTTTTTATATATTCTTAGCTGGAACTGCAATGCTTAATCTAGAACTAGAACTTCTCCTTTTCAAAACACCCCAAATTAAAAAAAAAAACAAGAAGATGATTTTCTCTCCATGGCAAGAATGGTAAAGTCAGTTCCTGTAATCTTGTTTGAGGAGTTCAAAAAGAGAAGAAAGATCGAGTTCAGCTAAAAAGAAAAGAAAATGTAAGTCTACAAGAAAATGTGTCAAATTTGATGCTGCTACATGCTCCATATGCATATTGCTTCATTTAGTTTGTCATTCCTAATATATATTTGAGTGGTTTGCTCTTTGTAGAGACTGAAAGAGTTGCACGCTAAAGAACCATCCAACCATGGTGAGATGTTGGGAGTAAGCTTCTTGTTTCCAGTATAGGGTCTTGAGAAACATGGCGTTAAGTTGGTAGGGTAGGTACTAGGTAGAGTAGATTGGCTGGATTAGTAACAGGGAAGATGGAAGCCTGCGGCTAGGAAGAAAACAGAGGAAGATCTATGAGAGGGGAATCTGATGCAATCTTGCATGTCTCCAAAATAGCTCATCGGCTGATTTTGTAGCTAATCACTTAATTACCCAACTTACTTAATCCTTACTTTGAGATACAGGTAACATGTTCGGGTGGTGCTGCAGATGGATGGCAACTGGGCCTCCGATCCAGCTGGGATCAGTCCATAACATTTTGTGATGCTGAAATTTCTTCAAGTAAATTTCATGTGTCTAGTTTTCATCACGCTCTTGGATTAGATAACAAAAGTAATTTTTTTCTCAAACCTTTTTGGAGCTGTCGTGCTAATTGTCCTCCTGGGATTATACCCGATTTCTCAAACCATTTGAGTATTGTGTTTGTGGTACCTTTTTTTTGTGCTCCATAGTACATATTCTCTCAAGGTACCAACAGAGTAGTCGTGCTAATTTGTCCTCCTGGGAAATCGGTAGTACAACTGAAAGCTTATTGCCCATTTTAGCTGAATGTAGTCCATGATACCACAAACACAATACAAAGGAAAAAAAAATGTTTAGACTATCAACTACAGGGATGAAACTCTGTACTGACACATCTCAAGAACCGAAATGGCTTGGCTGATTCAGCAACTCATGCAAAGTTTTTTTTTTAATTTTCTTTAGTACTCCCTCCATACTCAAAAATGAAGTCGTTTTGGATAAGGCTTGGGTCAAACATTGGGAATATAAATCATGAATAACTTTTAAGTTGTTGAGTTTGGAAATGTGAAAACCATATGTATAGATTTGTCTTGAAAAATACTTTACATATATCACTTTTTGATAAATATCTTTATAAAAATAAGTAGTCAAAGTTATGCTTTAGAGACCGTGTCGCTGTCCAAAACAATTTCATTTTTGAGTATGGAGGGAGTATTTAACAATTGATGGAATTGCATCACATCATTTTGTGATGAAAATTCCATGGAAGCCATAAGGTACTCTTCGTGGTAGTGCTACTTTTGCAACAGGAGCATCTTCAAATCTTTGAGCATCAATTATATGCACCTGTAACATTAATACATTAAGGTCCCATCATTGATTTCCCTGTATGCTTGTAGGACAAATGGGATCATTGATGTATATGAAATAGACAACACTTGCCTGTGATGTGTTAGTTTTCTCATCATGTACAAATGAAATAATCCACCCATCATCTTCATGTGACCCACCAACTCTCGGTACAAATGTTGCTCCAGAGCAGAACTCATCTTTACTAAGCCAGTGATACTGCGTTTTTATGAGATTTGCCCCAGATATCTGTTTTTTGTCATAGTTAAGCATGGGAATCCAGAAGAATTAAGAATTAGACCAATGACAAATTTATGCTTTGCACCTCTGTGTTGTTTCTCTTATCAAGGAAGAATTTTGCAAAACCTCTATACTTCGGATTGACTGCAAATTAGATAGTAGTTAGTCATGCTGAGATATAACATCACCATGAACAGAAATGTAACCTATACCAGTCCTCTGTGGTGCTTCGTTTCTTTATTTCATTCTTCTTGTTGGAGGTTACTGTTTACTTTCTTTCCTATACTCTAAGCTAGTAAATACATGTAAAATTATGTTCGATTTCAGTCATACCTTTCACGTGTTTTTCTAAATGACATACCTTTCACACATTTGCCACAAGAGATTGTTACAGAGTCCACAACTTGTGCATAGGCATAACTATGTTGCAAGCCTGTGTACTGGTTATTGATTGTTGGGAATTCGATTGAAAACTCTGTTCCAGTTAAATATTCCCCTGAGACATAGTTTGTTTTCAAGTTTAATCTCCATTGGTATAACCGAAAGAAAAATTCCTCGTTAATTTCTTGTTTCATGTGCTTGTCATCTTCTGTAAGCTCAGACAATCCATACTTGTTCAGGGCAAGTCTTGGACCTGGTATTATAGAGTCTGGAGAATGGAGACCTTGTACCACAACCTGTTTAACCAGGGAAGAGTAGTATCTATAAAGCATATATTCTTTGCAGTGATGATAAAATAGAAAATAAATAACCAGTCTCATGATTGTACCCGGAGATGATGATATTAAAGCTCTATGGAGCAAGCTAACCAATATCGTGATTGTTATACCTCATCACCCTCTTCAAAACAGTTGATTAGATGGAACATGCAGAATGGTTCAACATTAAACCAGATAACTGAATCTGCATTGCCATAACGGCGCATAACCCCAATTCTCGCATAACTTTCCTTCTCAAACTGCAACAACCTGTGCCGAGGGTTTTCATATTATGTTTGCAAATTTAATCAAGTAGAGCAATATCTTTAACTGAAAAGGTTTTCAAAATTACTTACTGTCCACCTTTGATAAGTCTACTGATGTCGAAAGTAAGTGGTACATCCATGATTACATTGTACCTATATACATCAGGAGACTGAATTCATCAGTGCTTTGTTGTAAATGAAATTCATCAATTCTAGCATCACTTATCAATATGGTGATATTTTAGAAATATGGCTCACTTTTTTTTTGATGAAACAGGAGGGATGTGAACCCCTACTGGAATTATATTAAAAAGGTAAAATGACAACCCCTACTGAAATATGGTTCACTTTGCAATTTATTCAGGAAAATGAATTTTGCACATACTTTGGAGTAACTCCTATTTCATGACAAAATATACATCTGTCCAGCTTGAGATCAACTCTATGCTTTAGTTTGGTTCCATCAGCTGCAGTAAGTTGGAACTTCAACTTGTTTTACCAACCTTGGTATAAAGAATATGATATAAAACTGCAAACTACTGTAAATAAGATACCTAAGACAACTCCAATTACTAGGAATGGCTTCTTTGCATTTATTCCATAGATGACAAGATCCCCTGATCCAGGAGCTACCTAGGTTACGTTCATGTGAATAAAAATGAATTCGTTGGTTCTTCATATTCATAGAGTGTAGAAAGATGTATCATATTTTGGTTTCTAGTTATTAGAGATTGTATAGCCACCGCACATTATACTTGTGCTGTCTTGTATTATAAGGCACCTCACCTATATATATGCAACTGGCTTGTGCCTAACTTACTTAGTGACCGAGTGGCTGAGTGGCGTTGTGACTAATTGATTCAGTTGGCCATGCGTCTTAGCGATAGAGTGAGTGAGTGACTAAGTGCCAAGTGGGCAAGTGGCCAAGTAGCGCGTAGTGACCGAGTGACTGAGGGGACGTGTAGCTGAGTAGGCAAGTGGTTGAGTATCTGTCTGACTAAGTGCCGAGTGGCAGAGTGGCTTAATGGCCGAGTGGCTTAGTGACTAAGTAATTGAGTCATGTGCTTGTGCAATATAACTTAATTATTAATTGATTCTGTTTTTTTTTGTGTGTGACTAAATTTGTGGATTCTGTTGCGACTGCAAGTTGAAACCATCTGGTGAATAATTATTTTCGGAGTGCATAAATACTTATTTTGTTATATATGATAATGATATATAGGCACGCTACTTTTCCTGATATGACATATGTCACTGTCTTACTCTTTGTTTCTAAGTATTAGGTTCAAAGGATGAATAGTTTCTGTCTACCTCATACTGACTATATTTGGTTGGCAAGGACAGCTGAGTCACTGTCTTTTTTTTTTTTTTTTTGGTTGGCAAGACAACATGTTAGACACATGCTCATGCTAAGAAGTATTTGGTATTTTCCTGCTAGGAGAGCTGAGTTTCTATCTTGTTTCTATTTGTCATGGTAAACATTAATATTGGTGCTACATAGACAGCAGTACCATTATTTTGATATTTGTTATTTTCCTGCTAGCTAAGACAGTTAAGTCACTGTCATGTTTCTAATAGCCACCATAAACTTTGATATTTAGTAATTGTATATTCTGGTTCCCAATTGATGCTTCAGTGTAATCACTGATAGTAGTATCAACCCATTTAGCTTGGTTGTGCATGGTAAAGCTAAGCAGTTATCCATACCTTTGGATGTGCAGTGAAAGCGGGCGGATCCCATTCCCCACCAATGTCCCAGGTATCGCCAGTGTCGAGGCTATCTATGCAGATCTCGTAAGGTAGAGAGTTCTCAGCGATAACGAACACCCTACCGGCATGCTCAAACACATTGGTGTTGTTGATGTCCTTGTTCACCTTGCCAAACCTCAGCTGCGTTGCATGTTCACTCGTTTCAGAGTGTCAGGTACTAGATCGCAATCACATATAGTAATAGACTAAGAGAAATTTTACTATGGTTGAAGAAACTGAGCTCATAGACTAATATATAGTACTACATCAAATCTAGATTTGCAAAGTTCTATTTGCTTACATAGTTGAACATGAAGGCGGCGATGATGGCTGCAGAGTCGCCCTCAGTGGCAGGGAGGAAGCAAGGTTTCTGCCGGGCTGTTTCAAGCTTGAACGTCTCGGATTGCACGTAGCGGTTGGCATAGGAGAGTGACCAAGAAGAGCCTGAAGTGCTTTTGGTGAAGTAGAGGGCATGGAGCATGCCCTCACCCTCAACCCATATCTCCCTGGATTGTCCGAAGATTGAGGTCGTCGAATGTTGGGAACCAAAGAGTGGATTGGAACCTATTTTATCAGTTCAGAATAGATTCAGCGTCTGCTTTTCCAAGCAATTCCTCTCCTTGATATGATATGATAGAGTATAGGTATAACAACAAAACTGTTAGCGACCCACTGGGATCTCCGATCAATCTCTCGCTCACGATAACGAGTTCCTTCGCTCAGACCAACGAGGACCGGCATGAACAGAGTTCAACTTCTCTTACAAGATAGACGATGAAGAAGCTCGTGCTCTCCCTTCTCTCTGCTTTTCTACGCTCTCGCCAGCTCACATCGGTTATAGACCCATTCCGGGCCACGGACGCAGACGCTCCTGGATCGGGCCCTCGTGCTCTTCCTTGGACGCTGGGCTTCCTTGGGCTGGCTTAGATGGGGTGTCGTAACATTCCCCTCCCCTTGGGTCCTGGCTTGTCCCCAAGCCGATGCATTCGTGAACTGCTGGCGAAGAGCTTTGGCGTCCTCCCAGGTTGCCAGCGATGTGTCGAGACCGGACCACTTGATGAGGACTTGAGCCACCGCACCATCGCTCCTGGGGTGCATGGGGCGTTGGAGCACAACTTCAGGGACTTGTAGGTTGTCATCGATGTCCGGGAGTGCAGCCGAGACAGTAGACTTGGAGGGAGGCGCCGGCTTCAACAACGACACATGGAACACCGGATGAACGCTCGACGAAGGAGTTCCAGCTTGTATGCGACGGTGCCAATCTTGTTGATCACCTTGTATGGCCCGAAGTAGCGGAACGAGAGCTTCTGATGTGTGCGCGGCGCCAAGGAGGATTGTACGTACGGTTGGAGCTTGAGGAAGACGTAGTCACCAACCGCGAAGGAGCGTTCCGAGCGTCGCTTGTCAGCTTGGGTCTTCATCCGTTGTTGGGCTTGGTGAAGGTGTTGACGCACCGACGCCAGCATTGTTGTGCGTTCAGAGAGCATAGCATCAACATCCGGTGAAGAGGAAACCGAAGTAGCCGATATGCCGAAGTGGCAAGGGGGGTGTCCGTAGAGTACCTCGAACGGCGACTGGTTCAGGGAGGAGTGGAAGCTGGTGTTGTACCAGAATTCCACCAGCGAGATCCACTTCACCCATTGGCGCGGGCAGGAATGGACGAAGCAGCGGAGGTACGTCTCCAAGCACTGGTTGACGCGCTCCGTCTGTCTGTCGGAGTGCGGGTGGTACGCCGAACTCATGGACAGGGTGGTCTGGGCCAGGCGAAACAGCTCGCGCCAGAACACACTGGTGAACACCCAATCGCGGTCACTGACGATGTGCGTCAGTAGTCCATGAAGGTGGTAGATGGTGTCGAGGAACAGCTGAGCGACCTGTTGAGCAGTAAAAGGATGTGAAAGTGGCATGAAGTGGGTGAATTTGCTGAACCTGTCCATGACGACCATGAGACAGTTAGCTGTTCCAGAGCGGGGTAGCCCCTCGACGAAGTCCATGGACACCATTTGCCACGACTCGGTCGGCACTGGAAGTGGAGCGAGCAAGCCAGGGTACTGTGCACGGTCTGGCTTGGCCTGCGCGCAGACGGAGCAGTTGGCAACAAACTGCTTAACATCAGTCTCATTCCCCGCCAGGCAAACAGTCTCTTCAACCGGCTGAATGTAACAGGAAAGCCGGAGTGGCCGCCCACCGCACTGTCGTGGAGAGCAGATATGACACGCTGTTGCAGCTCTTTGTTGTTCCCGAGCCAGATTCTGTTATTGAGCCTGAGGATCCCGTCGTGAAGGGTGTAGGGTGGATGGGCTTCCGGGTTGATTGCCAGCTCCTGGATAATCTTGAGTGTGGAGGGGTCCGAGGAGTAGCCAGCCACCACATCAGAAAGCCAAGCAGGAGTGGGGGAGGAGATTGCCTGAATCTGGACCGGAGGAGAGGGGTGCCTTGACAGAGCGTCAGCAGCCTGGTTTGAGTTGCCCGGCTTGTAAATGATCTTGTACTGCAGGTCGGCCAACTTAGTGTATAACTTAAGCTGCCATGGAGTATGAAGTCTCTGGTCAGTGATGTGTACCAGGCTCCGGTGGTCTGTGAAGATCACAAATTCTCCATGTTGTAGATAGGCCCTCCACTGATCAATAGCAACCAATACTGCCAGGTATTCTTTATCATACGTCGAGAGGCAGCGGGTACGAGGACCGAGTGCTTTGCTGACAAAGGCCAATGGGTGTCCGTCTTGTAACAGCACGGCACCGACACCAAGATCGCTTGCATCTGTTTGCAGTTGAAATGGCTTCGAGAAATCTGGCAAGGACAGAACCGGCGCTGTCATAAGGGCATGCTGCAGTGTGTTGAAAGCTGTAGTGTGGGCTGCTGTCCAAACAAACAAGGTCCCCTTTTTGAGCAGGTCAGACAATGGCCGAGCTATGACTGCGAAGTGACGCACAAATTTGCGATAATAACCAGCGAGGCCAAGGAAACTACGCAGTTGCTTGGCATCCTGAGGTATAGGCCAATCTCTGATAGACTGAATTTTTGATGGGTCAGTTGCAACTCCAGCAGAACTGACTACATGGCCCAAATAAGCTATCTACTGCTGTGCAAACCGGCACTTTGAGAGCTTGACCTGCCACTTGTCCCGAGCCAGCAGAGTGAGCACTTGATGGAGGTGAACCAGATTTCAAAGGTTTTACTGTATATCAAAATGTCGTCGAAAAAGACGAGAGCACAGCGGCGAAGGAGCGGAAGCAACGTAGTGTTCATAGCACCTTGAAATGTGTTTGGTGCTCCGGTCAGGCCGAAGGACATGACGGTGAATTCAAAATGTCCCCAATGAGTTTGGAATGCTGTTTTAGGTTCTTCGCCGGGTGCCAGGCGGATCTAATTGAACCCCGCGCGGAGATCCAGTACTGAAAACCACTTGGCTTCTGAAAGTTCATCAAGTATTGGTATAGGGAACTTGCTCTTTACTGTCAGTGCGTTGAGCATCCTATAATTGACACAGAACCTCCAAGAGTTATCCTTCTTGCGGACCAGAAGAACCGGTGAGGAGAAGGCACTGTTGCTAGGCTGAATCAAGCCGGACTGTAGCATATCTGAAACCTGACGCTCTATCTCATTCTTGAGAGCTGGAGCATAATGGTATGGCCTGACTGATACCGGTTGGGCTCCGGGCACCAACAGTATTTTGTGGTCACAGGATCGCCGAGGGGGAAGGCCTAAATGTTCAGCAAAGACATCAGCAAACTCATCCAACAGGGACTGCACCGCCGGATGGAGTGGAAGTTGGTCAGCAGCAGATGTATCACTGGCAATGTGATAGAGTTGCACGACTGAGCATATGTCATTGGCAGGAACAATACCCTGAAGCAGAATTTGTGTGGCACCATACGGAAACATCATCCACTTCTGTTGCCAGTGTATCTTCATAGGAGAGAATGCCATCAACCAATCCATGCCCACTATCATATCGTAGGATCCCAGCTGAAGCACTTTCAGTGTAGAATGGAAGGTGTACCCCTGTACAGACCATTCAGCCATAGGCATTTCCTGAGTGCAGGTAACTGATCCACCATCAGCGACTTGAACTGAAACAGGTGACTGCAACTGACGAAGACCAGTTAACTGATCTGCCACAGTAGTACTGATAAAAGAATTGCTGCTTCAGTGCTTCCTGAGTCAACCAAGATGACAACACTCAGTCCACCGATAGAGCCCTGAAACTGCATGGTTCGTTGAGCAGGCTGAGCAGATACTGCTGCTGAGGACAACATCATGAACACCTGGTGCGCTGGCTCGGCCGGAGAGCCCTGCTCCTCAAGTTCTGAGAATTCCTCCTGGCACAGGTTCCAAACCTCCTGAAGTACATGGACTTGGAGGGCGGGCACACATTTGTGCCCCGGTTGCCAACGTTCCGCGCAACGAACGCAGAGACCGCGGGCCTTGCGGTATGATCTTAGGGTCTGAAGGCGATCGTCGACAGACCCGGCGCACGGTGGATGACGGCGTTCCTCCGCGGGCTTCTTGTCGTCAGGAGGGGTTGTAGAAGCAGTGGCACGTTGGGGAGGAGGTGGTGGTAGAGCTCCCCTGGGTGCCGACGGCTTGTGGAAGGAGTAATGGTCAGCCTTGCGGACCTCCTTCCTGCTGTCCGGCTCGACGACTTCCTCCTGCAAAAGCGCCAAAGTACAAGCAGCATCCAGCGTGGAAGGACGTTGAACGAGAACAATAGCCCGGATGTCATCACGGAGGCCGTCGATGAAGCGAGTTATGTAAGAAAGATGGTCTGGATTTGGTGTGTAGGCTGTGAGCTGTTCGACCAAGTCCACGAAACGATCGACATAGTCCTGGACCGTGGTCGTTTGCTTGATGTGGAAGTGTTGGCAAAGGAGCAGTTCATGCTGATCGCCGCAAAAGCGCTCACAAATCAGACGACAGAAGGATGGCCAATCGAGGCCGATTAGTTGGCGCTCGACGGATTGGAACCAGCGGCGGGCTGCGCCGGTGAACTGCATAGTGGAACACTTAACCCACATAGATGGATCGACGGTGTAGAGGTCGAAATAGTTATGAGCGCAGGTCATCCAATACTGGGGATCTTCGCCGTCGAAGTTGGGGAAATGCATTTTGGGAAGGTGGCCGAGATTGGGATTGTGGTGAGATGAATTGGGTTGGGGAAAATTGGTAGGATTGGGTGGTGGACGGACAGGAGGTGATGAATCGGGTGAGGGAGGGTCAGGATTGGGAGCGCGACACGTACCATTGGCCGGGGACGGAACTATGGTCGTGACCGAACCATAGGGCCGCTCCCGTGTAGTCGTTTCGACGCGGTGCCCGGTGGGCCAGTCGATCGTGGATCCGCCAGGGTGAAGCACGGCGGCGGCCGACTCCCGATGTGCCGTCAACGGTGGTTGCTGAGGCTGCGTCGCTGGAGGCTTGATGTGGCGGCGGAGGTCGTAGCGGATGTTGTCAATGTTGCCGTCGACCTTCGTGCGCCAGCCTTGGAGCTCCCCGGCGGCGCCTTCCAACGCCTCCACGGGGTCGTCGCGCTCGTCGCGGATCTCGGCCAACCGGATGAGCTCCAAGTCCGCCATGCGCTGCTCCTGGTCGGAGACGAGTTGTCGGCGATGACGACGGCGGTGTATTAGGAGTAGGCGAAGTCCTCCAAGGAGCCGAGGCGGCTGTCGACGGCCTGCTCACGCTCTTGAAGGGCGGCGGACGCGTCCTCGAAGCGTTTCTCCAGGCTCTCCCAGTGCTCTGCGGAACGCCCGTCGAAGTCCTCGAACCGCTTGAGCATTTCGTTGAACGTCTTGGCGACGACCGGATCCATCGCTCCCCGGGCTCGCTCCAGGCACGTGAAGTGCTCGTGGGCGACCGGCGCGGACTCCAACGCTCGTCGGCGACCTGTCTCTGATACCAGGTATGTTAGCGACCCACTAGGATCTCCGATCAATCTCTCGCTCACGATAACGAGTTCCTTCGCTCGGACCAACGAGGACCGATGTGAACAGAGTTCAACTTCTCTTACAAGATAGACGATGAAGAAGCGTGCTCTCCCTCATCTCTGCTTTTCTACGCTCTCGCCAGCTCACATCGGTTACAGACCCATTCCGGGCCACGGACGTGGACGCTCCTGGACCGGGCCCTCGCGCTCTTCCTTGGACGTTGGGCTTCCTTGGGCTGGCTTAGATGGGGCGCCGTAACAAAAACTAGTAGAAAAGACGACTCAAACTGTCACCAATTCTGATGTACACCCCCTCGCGGAAACCATCTGGTATCGCTCCTTCAATCTGGTGTATCTTTATGGCTTCACCGATCTCGTCGACCGGTGCGAAATTGCTCTGCAAGCTCAGCCCGAAATCAGAAGCAAGTTCTAGGCTATTGGTTTTTCAGAAGCATGTTATATATAGTTATACAATGGAGCTAGAGAGGAGTTCTCTTGAACTAAGTAGGAGCACCTCGGAGGGATACAGAGGTTGACCAGTGAATTCGAAGGTTGCATCAACCAGCACATCCAGCAATCTCCGGTACACCTGAAAGCCTATCGCCCAATTGATTTTTCAATTTTGAACATTTTAAATCAATATTTTAAAAGAACCTATCCTAAAAATATTGAGATAATTATCTATTTGGCACAGGAAAAAATCGGTCTTTCTTCTAAGACACTACTGAAATCAAAGTTCCTTATCTAACACCGAGTTGAAATTTCCTTCTCCGTTTGGCACTACTGTCCATTTTCTTTACTAAGACCGACTCCAACGGAGTACCCAAACCCATTAATAAGTCTCGTAAAATTGTTTTTGCCTACTTAATACCGGCTCCAACAGATGACCCATCCGCACGATGCATTTTGCCTGCCAGCCCAAGCGAACCGCAAAAAAGCGTCGCCTCTCTCCTCGCTACGCAAATCTCCGATGGCGCCGCGCCCTCTGCCGCTGAAGCCGTCGTCGCGCCGGGGTCGCTGCGTCGTAGTGCTCTGCTCCCTCCCCCTTCTTCCCCCTCTGCTCTGCCCGCCCTCTCTCTTTCTCTTCCCTCTGTCTCGCTTTCCTCCGTCCGTTGACCGCAGAGCACCGCGTCGAGCGCCGTCGGCACCACTCCGCTGCCGGGCCTAGCTGATGCCGCCGCGGCCACCCTGCGCCCGGGCTCGGCCAGATCTGAGGCCCCACAGCGCCCAGCCCCTTCCTGCCCGCCCGACGCTAACGAGGCTCCGCGGGCTCCACCTTCGCCGCCGCCGAAGCCGGGGGCTGCCGTCGCAGCCACGCCCTCCGGATCCAAAGCTGAGGCGCTGAGGGATGAGGACCGGGGGCCGCCGGCGTGGTTCGCCGCCCTGGTCGCCGTCGGCCTCTACATCATCGTGCGGTCCGCCGCCACCTTCCTCTTCTTCTCCCTGCTCCCCTGCTTCTCCCTCCCTTCAATCCGCGCCGAGGCAATAGCGCTGCCGAGCGCTCTCCCTTCCCCCTCTCCCCTTGCAGCACCCGCCGGGGCTGACCGCCGCCCCACCCGAGCCCACAGGGGAGCCGACCGTGGCGCAGGGGGTGGGGGGGGTGGGGGAGGGGGGCTGGCCGCGCCCGCGACGAGCGCCATGGCGCCGGTGGCCGTCTGTTGCGCTTCCGTCTTGGAGGAGCCGCCCAGACGGAGGATTTTGGGTTCGCTGTTGTTGGAGAAGGAAGTTTTTGGGTTCGTGACCCTTTGCCTTTACGGGACTCAAATCCTCGAATAGGTCTCGTGTTTGCCTTCCCACCGTTGGAGACAGTCTAAGGGTGTTAAATGGCCATCAAAATGATCCATATGCCTCTCTCTATATCAGAACTATATGGTGTCAAATAAAAAAAGCATGATGTTTATGGTGTCAAATAAAGAAAAACACGAATGTCGTGGTTGTGAAATAAGGAAGAGATTAATTAGTTCTGGTTTCCATCAAAGGTAGTTTTCATTATATATGTATTTCCTAAAAATAATAAAATAATAGATAAATCGATATAATTATAAATATTTCTTTTCATTGAGGAAAATATGAAATTGGTATAACTTTTTATAAAAAATATAATCTATCTCTTCATTGTCCATAACTTTAGTTTTGGTATTCCTTCTTTCATGTTCATTTTAACATTTTTAAAATTTTTAATTTCAAAATATAACTTGAAATAGAATTTTGGGATAATAAATAATTTTGAATTAAATAGTCGTCAATTACAAAGTAGTAGGTTTGATATGAGATCTATAACTTTGGTTTTGGCCATTTCCCCATTCGAGTTCATTCAAACAATTCAAAAGATTTGCAATTGAAAATATGAGATCTTTAAACAGAATTTGAGGACCGTAAATGATGTCAAATGGAAAGGTCGTGAAAACCAAAGTTGTATATGTCATGAAGACCTACTACTTTGTAGTTGACAACTATTTTATTTAAAATCATCTACGGTCCTCAAATTCTATTTGAAGTTTTTATATTTTAAAATTCAAAATTTTCAAATTGTTCTAATGAACACGAACGAAGAAATACCAAAACTAAAGTTGTAGATCTTGAGGAGATAGATTATATTTACTTTCTAAAAAATTGAACTAAGTGCATATTTTTTATGAATTAAAAAGAATTATTTATGAATTATAGTGATTTATCTATTATTTTATTAGTTTTAGAAAATACATATAATGAAAACCATCTTTGATTGAAACTGGAACTAATTAATCTCTTATTTCACAACCATGACAATCATGCTTTCCTTACTTGACACCACAAACAATCATGTTTTTCTTATTTGACGCCACATAATTCTGATATATATAGAGAGGGGCATATGGGTCATTTTGATGGCCGCTTAGCACCGTTAGTGAAGACAAATGGACAGTAGTGCCAAATAGAGAAGGAAATTTCAACTTGGTGCTATATAGGGAACTTTGATTCTGGTAGTGCCTTAGAAGGAAGAATGATTTTTTCCAGTGCCAAATAGATAATTCTCTTAAAAAATGTTTGAGAGACCAAGTTGATAAGTGCATTGGTCTCGTTCATCTATGATGAATGATTGTCACAAGAGTTGAGAGGTTTGAGGCTTTCCTGTTGGGTACATATTCATATGTGCTTTGATTATGCTAATGTGTAACGGAGGTGTTGTTGTGTTATGTCGTGTTGAGTTTGTGGTGTGACATGTCTCTTAGCTTGTGAATGTATAGGTGTTGTGTGTGTTGAGGTGGTCGACAAGTGATGGAGAAGGACAAGCGAGGACGTATGTGCATGATGGACGAAGAGTGGTGAAGGGTGGATGAGTAGGCTTGGACCGAGGGACTAAGAGGTCGATGACGGAATGACGGACCATGGGTGGCTAGCATCGGGCACATGAAGAGCAAGAGCACATGGTGATGGAGATGGTGTCGACCGAGTCAACAGCTGGGATGGACCAAGTCATGGCGAGGCGTCGCTAGAACTTGGTGGATCACTAGGACGAGGACATGAAGGTCGAATACATGTCGACATCGGTAAGTCACACCTGGTGACTGGCGAGGTGTGCATGAGGGTTTGCTAGTTTAGTCCTCAAAACTTGGGATGGATGTTTTGTTGGTTTGGGTCTCAAAAACCATCGGCGACGGGTTTGACCGGTTTGGGCCTCAAAAGCGGGGAGTGGCGGATCGGCACATGTGTGGTTGCAAACTTGGGCGGTTGTACCCCTGAGGGTATTTGGGTTGAGTGCTTCATGTACGGGCAACTTGAAAAATAGCCAAGTGCCTATATATATGACAGATGGATGGATGTGAAGCCATACCTTTGAACGCCTTTAGTGACGGATTAGGATCTCACCTGTGAGGTTTAGAGTTTTTGCATAGCCTAGAGAGAGGGAGAGAGAAGAGAGGCTCTTTGATTGAGCTTTTTGCAGTCCAAGATTTGTAATATACTAGGAGTGGCTTATAATCGCACATGGTGAAATAATCCAAAGATCTAGTTCGTGCACCACTTCTTCTCCCCTCCCAGATCTGAAATTTGTCCTTTTTGTTGATTTTCTGAGCCATTTTTGAGTGATTTTTATCTGGTGTTTGGCTAGGTTGCAACCTTGATTCTAGAGTGTTTTGGGACACTGGATTGCAACCTTGATTTTGTAGTGTTTTAGAACCCTTGGATCTTTTCAAAACATGTCTTGAAGCCTAGCACCAATGTCTATTGTTCCAAACCCCAGAACTCTTTTCAAGCCTCTTTTTGATGATTTTGTTAAAGATCTTTATGTTGAGGCTTTATTTGGGATGTACTTGAATGATCTTTAGGTGCCATAAGGGCTTGAGAATACACATAGTCACTGCCCTTGGCAGATCTCCCACAAGCTCCTAGAAATCTCCATTTTGAGAAAATTGAGAAAACCACAATTTGAGAGGGATTTTGAAATTCTGTTCAAGCTTTGAACTTTTTGAATTGATCTCTTGGGGATAGATCCTAAATAGGTTATTCATGGTGTGCACAAAGTTTCAGATTTTTTGGAGCCCATTTGTTGATTTCAAAATTTTCTTAGAGAGAATTATGCTAAAACAATAGAAACCATCTCAGGCCAGTACAAACCAGCCCAAGCCAGGTCTTTTCAACTTGCTCCGATTGGAGCTGATTTTTTTGGTGGAAATGTTCTTTGTGATGTTATAAACTCCACTAGATCTCATGATTTTTGGAGGTCATTTAATTAGGTTTTGACTTTCGTTCTTATGTGTGCTGAATTTTGAAAACCAGCCTAGGCCAGTTTTTGCTGAGGGCAATCTCTCACTTGTTTTGACCTCCGTTTGTTTCTGCATCCTTCCAACCTAGTTTCTAAGGTCTATCCGCCGTGACTACATGACTTTGGTTAGTTGGGTTCGAGA